AAAGGAGGGGTTTGGATAGGGAGTTTGGGGGGATATTTGTATTTTTATATGTTTATGCTTCTAACTGGTATTCTAAACACCTTGAAAAAAACCTGATAAGGGGCGAGTGTGGGAAAGTTTTTGAATAGATGAAAGTTTTTTTCTTTTTGGGGATTTTCTTTTTTTTTTGGGGTCACCCTCCTCGGGGGAAGGGGCCCCGATTTTTTGAAAAAAAAAAAAAAAAAAAAAAAGTATTGGTGGCGCAAAACCCGGGTGACCTCCCTCCTTGCCTCTCTCGTAAGACTGACAAAACCCCAGTCCCCATATGGAGGGGGTGTTTAAATACTGCGTGGCAGCACAATATGAATACAGACAGGATTTACCAGAGAGGTTGGGGTGAGTCATTCCCTTTTTAAATTTTTACTGGTAACGGGCACTACTGAGAACTGTGCCCCCCCCCGTTTTTTTTCCATTCTCCCCGAGCTCCCTAAGCACGCACCTGTCTCTCCTTGTGTCTGGAAAAATCCCAAAAATTTTAAGTGTTTTTAAAAATTTCATATTTTTTAAAATATTTCTCATATATACCCGGTTTTTCCCTCAAAATTCACGTTTTCAACTTTCACGGGCTTCACAACGCGAATTCCCAACCGCCAAATTTCCCGCCCCCAAAATTCCCCCTCCAAATCATATTTTGTTTCCCCCCCCTGGTCCCAACTACCCTCCCCCGACCCCCCCAACGGTAGCCACCCTCCCACCCCTCAGTGTGGGGGAGGTTTTTTTGTTCATTATTTGCTATTAAATACAGAATAATAATGTAAACCCTTCATGCGCATATTGGAAAGGGTATTCGGGGCAGGTATTAGACGGTGACATCATGTTTTACTCTTTAACACGCAAAATTTAAAAATTTCTGCTACAGCTAATAATAACAATATAATAAAAATAATAATAATAATAATAATAAAAATAAAAAATATGAATAATTTAAAAGGAAAATTTTACAAAAAAAAGAGGAGTGGGTTTAACATCGCGTGTGACTTTTGTTTTTGTGGGGTGAACTTAGTCTCCTCTCTTCCAAAAATTTCACAATAATTCATTGTTTGGTGCTTTTAATTTAGTGTGACTGGAGTGGAAGGCAGTGATTGAGGCAAAGGTATTTTAAAACATGTTAAAATAAACAGTTATTAATAATATTTTACTATTATTTTTTATAACATAATTTATTAAAAACAACATTTAATAAAAATAATGTTTTTAATAATAACTGACTATTAAATTTTTTAACATATGTTTTTAAATACCACTGCCTCAACTGCTGAATTATTGGAAATTTGGAAAGCAGGGGGACTAATGTTCACTCCCCATAAAAAAATCACACTGCGATGTGTCACCAACCCCCATATTTTTGTACAATTTCCTTCTTCAATTAAACCCTATTATTATTATTATATTATTTTTATTATTATTATTATTATTTTATACTAGTTTTTATTAGCAAAAACAGAAATGTTCTTCTTTCTGGTTCAAGAGTAAACACATAGTCACCCCTAATACCTGCCCAATACCATTCCAAATGCATCTGAAGGGGTTTTTCTTATTTATTCTGTAGTTTAAAAGCAAATAATGAACAAACAAAACACTCACCACCCTGAGTGGTGGGGGGGACGGCTGCCAGTTTTCGGGGGTCCCCAGGGGGGGTAGTAGGGACTCGCATTTGGGGGAGCATTGGGGAGTCTGTGGTATTTATAAAATACTTTTTTAAAATACTGTTATTAAAAAACTCTTATTTAAAACTAACATGTAAAATTTAGTACAATTAAAATTTTCATGATTTTATGATTTTTCATGTTTAACAAGTTAAAGGGGCCAGTATTGTAATATATTTCCCCACATAATTGGGGCACCAAACTTCACGGTTTTTTTAAAATTCACGAGGGTCTTGACCCCCAACCCCCGCGAATTTTTTAGGGGACCTGTATTTAGTAACCCGACCTAAATAAAACTACACACTGTGCTGCCGTGCGGAAGAATTAAAAAACAAAGAGTGTCTTATGTCTCGGATGGGGCCCTGTTGTAATGATAATAATACTCAATAAAAAATCATTTATCTCATTAAATGTCTATATTACGTTAATGTACACTTTTCATTAATCCATGTTTATATTTTTTCAAAAATTTTATAAAAAACACGATACAAAAACATATAAAGATAAAAAATACACTCCCCAGTAGAAAAAAAAAACATGAAAATGAGATTGGGAGCCAGACAATGTCAAGGGCGGGAAGAATAAGTTTTCTCTAGCCCCCCATAAAGAAAACGGTTCTGGGGGTAACGTAGAAAATATTTCCTTTTGTATACCTTCACTCAAAGTGTCATTTCTTCAAAAAATGGGGTTACTGAGAAAGGGAGTGTTCCTCTTTTTTTTTTTCTATCTTTCAACATAGAGACAACTTGTACACAATGTAACTTTTACACAAACCAGCGTGTACACTTTTTTAATAACTCACCTTCGCCTGGTTTGTTTAAAAAATCCCCGTGTGTCCCTTCATGACTCATTCTCTTCTCTTCATTTTTTTTTTTATACTCGTTTTTCCACCCCCTACCCACTTTAAAACAGAAAAGTTTTTTTAAAAGGGAATAATGAGTGAATGTATAGCATTTTTTCGCTCGGGGTCTTAAAAATTTATGGAATTTAAGTGTTTTATGGAGTGGCCCGGTTGGGACCTGGCGATATCAACTACCACACTTTAAATTTTTTACAAAAAAAATACTACTTTTCTCACCCAATTAAACAAAAATATTTTAAGGTAAGAATGAGTGTATAAGTGATTTTACTTTTTTTTTTTTTTTTAATGCCTAGTTTTACTGCTAACCCCAAGGAAAAAAAGTCACACTGCTTTTTGGGTTTCCTAGGGACTTTACCAATTTCGCTATGTAGTAAACTATGTAACGAATTTGTGTTTTAACTAAAAAACTTCTTACTTTAAAATTTAAAATTGTTAGGTAAACTGTTACGTATCTTTTGCATTTATAGGTGGAAAAAAAGGTGTTTCACTTTAAAGAGGGTTTTCCGCTTTCGGGGAGCCTGGGAAACCAACCTGCCCTATAATGGGGGGCCCACTGTAAGTATATTTTAAAGCAAAAAAATCACATAAACAGGGGATTTGAAAATGCAAAACAACCACTGTGAAAGAAAGTGAAATTCCTGGTGCTTTCATGACTTCCACATTATAAAACATAAGAAAGAAGGAAAACGCAACACCTACTGACCCATCTGAGAGGTCCTGTCCCCCCCCCTGGATTAGCCCAATGACCCACCCAGTTGGTCCCTCCACTCAGGAAGGAGACGGCACCAACCCAGCGCACAGCTAGTCAGGCCAACCACACCACCCACCCCCTCAGTATTTACTAACCTATTTTTAAAACCAATTTTACCTAAAACTTTAGGGAAAAAAACAAAAGAATACATTAAAGGGGGCATAAAAAGGTTAGACCACACCTTACCATCACATCCCACACAAAGCAACCAGATTGGGCGACAAAAACCCACCAAAGAAGGGAGGAATACTGCAGCAGGCCCCCTGGCCCAACAGACAGGTCCTTTACGACATCCCCCCAACAAAATTCCTACTCAAAATAAAATTTTTTTTTGTCCAATGTTTATTAAAAATTTTTCACAAATTTTTATTAATTTAAAAAAGGACTAATTTTTAAAAAACCAAAGGAAATCACCACTGTATTCTATTTTTTTTTAAAACTGCTTTTCAAAACAAGATTCAATTAATTCCTGGCGACTTTGGACTTGCTTGATACAAAATATCCTCGTTTTTTTAAAATTGAATTTGTAATCCCAAAAACCGTGATTGGGATGGTGGTACTCCCCGTTACATTTTGTTCGTTTCCTCAGACCCTTTGGATGGGGTTTATTTGCTTTCCTTTTTTTCCCTTTTTCCCACGGTGTCCAGTGGATCCCCCTACAGACTGAGACCTATGGTCTGGGGGTGGGGTGTTATGCTGGGTTCTGCATGAACCCCTAAGTAAAAAAAAGTGGGAAGTGTGCCAAATTTTTATGAACTATGACAAAATTTAAATCATAAAGTATGAACAGGAGAAATGTCACCCATAATTTATAATTTATACTGTGATTTGGGGGGACTGTAAAGTACTTTCAACGAAATGTAAGGAAAACCCGCCGGGGGTTTTTTTCCAAATGTTTTGGGTTTGTGGGTAAGCATGTCTTGGGGGGGTCAGTGGAGGCGCTTGAGGAAGGCGGCTCCGGAAAGCCTGTAAAAACTGTTTTTTAGTTTTTTTATCATTTGGTTAAACACCCAGCCATAACCCCTTTTATGGTTTACCCGTTTCTCACCTAGGGTCTGAATGGTCAGGGATTCCGGGATGAGTGAGGACTGAGGACATAAGAGGTAATGGGGGTTAGTGGAGTAGGGAAGGCCTGGCATTGCTGGGTTAAGTGTTTATGTTTTGCTGGACTCTCCAGCTGCCTGCTTCTTGTGTGCTGTTATTTGGGAGCTTAGGAGAAGAGATATATGAAGGTGGTTTTCTAGTGTATATAGTGTTATCCCTAATAAATATATATTTTCCTAACTAGAAATTTTGCTTAGAGTGAGGTGTAATGCTAGTGGTAGTAGTAGTAGTAATGATATAAGTTGTAGCAATAGTAGTGATACAATATGGTAGAACAATTAACTTGCACATGAGTAAAAGGATATAAAATCTATTACTTTGGGTGGCCTATAAAACTCACAAAAACATTCTCTATCATTTCATAAGAATATTTTTCGACTCCCCAGTGGTAGTCCAGGATCAAAATTCTCGACCCTCAAAGGGTTAAAACTCTATACAAACTGAATTGAGAAAGACAATGCACATAAATTATATTTGTTATAGAGTGAATATATTTGAGTAAAGGCATGTTATGAAACTGATATTAAATTACTTTAAAACAGAAGATGACTATGAAATGGCAGGAGGAATATTGACTATGTAATTAAGTATTACTCACCATAGCAATCCCTTGCAACAGTCATGTTTCTTCGCATATCATAACCCCAATAGCCAGGCTGGAAATAGAGTTAATTTTCTTCAAATTTCTATTTCCCTTTTATGCTGAACAAAGATAATCTAGTTTACATATAATAAAACACTGTTAGGCACAAAAGAAAGCCACTAGTATGCAAATACATTTTGGACAAACTAATCTTAATGCTTAAAGACTACTTAAGAATCAGGCATCAACTATAAAGGATTTTTATGCAGTTTAACACAATTTATTCACAATAAGAAAGGTAGCTAAATGAACAACAGTACAATTTTTGAAAGTATGGTTTATTATTTCAAAATGATTCAATGATCTTCAGTTAAGTAGGATTTCTAAAGCAGGTAACTATAATTATATGCACAATAAGAAAGGTAGCTAATGTATGAAAGGTACAATTTTAAAAGTATGATTTAATATTTCAAAATGATTCAATGATTTTCAGTTTTGTAGAGTGACTGAATAGAGATGGTGAAGATACAGGAATTTACTTAGCTACAGTAGAAATATAATGGAGTAAAATGAGTAATTAATTTTCTCTGGGAGTTGGAGGAAGATTGGAAGAACAGGGACAGAGTTGGATGGGCTGGTTCTGTCTAATATATCACATGCAAGAAAGGTATACAATACCTGGTTCAATTATGTTAGGGAGATGAGTGTTTTTTAACCCTTTGACTGTTTTGGTCGTACATATATGTCTTACGAGCCAGTGTTTCGGACGTATTAATACGCATAAATTCTAGTGGCTTCAAATCAAGCAGGAGAAAGCTGGTAGGCCCACATGTGAGAGAATGGGTCTGTGTCGTTAGTGTGCACCACATGAAAAAATCCTGCAGCACACAGTGCATGATGAGAAAAAAAAAACTGACCATTTTTTTGGATTAAAACGCCGACTTTGAGGTGTATTTTCATATAGTATTTACAGGTACCATCCAACTTACGACCAAGCTTGGTTCCGACCAACCGGTCGTAAGTCAAAATGGACGTAAGTCGAATCTTTGAAAATTGTCGACATAATGGGTAGGGCATAACGTCAAACCTTTCCTATATAAACTACCTACATAATACATACTGTAATGTAATGTACAATCATTATTTCATTCTTTTTACCATAATTTACTTCTATTGCTATATTTTAATTATTTATGTACTGTATATAATGTATACATGGTAGTGAACTGTACTGTAAATTTTACATCGCATACAGTATCATATGTTACTGTTATCTTTATGTATTGTCGACACAGCGGAATGGGAGAATACCACTGGTAGTGTTATCCTGCCAGAATATAGTATAACCTATACCCTAAGTAATGAGAAACAACTCTGGAACATGTGTAATACATATCCGGCTGGCTGGCCGGGTGGGTGGCCTGGTGGGTGGGTGGTTGGCTGGCTGACTGAATGTGGCTGTCTCTCTCTCTCTCTCTCTCTCTCTCTCACACACACAGGTACACGTAAGTGAAGTTATCATACATAGTATAAATTACCTAGGACAACCCAAAAAATCCAGACAGTGCTATACAGTGGATCTGTGTTCCAGTGCCTTAAATTAATAATAATATTAATAATAATAATTATTATTATTATTGCAATAATACATATGTACTAATATTAATAATAATATTATTATTAAACTATAATATAATAATCGTGTCCACTCATTACTTACCTTAAAATATCTGTAGTCTTAAAGTAGAGTGAGAGGTGAGTAAACAAGATTAAATGAATAAACGAGAGAGAGAATGAGAGGGTAGAAGGTTCACGAGTTATGTAAACAAACGTTGTTGCTGTTGTTGTTACCAGCCAGGACACGAATGGTTTTTGTTCACTCTGTCAAGCCGACCAGAAAAACATCTCATATTTGTTAATTTACATGCTTATATGTTATGTAGCATGTTTATTATATAATTTTGAAAAAAAGTCATAGACAGATTAAGCAAAATGTCTATATTAACGTTTTATACATATTTAATGCGCCTCAGTGATTATTATTGTGTTATTATCATTATTAATATGGCATCTTCAAGACCAATTACACTCTTAATGGGTGGCTCTGAGACAGACAAGCAGACAGAAAGACAGACACAGGTAGACAGAAAGACAGACACACAGGTAGATAGAAAGACAGACACACAGGTAGATAGACAGACACACAGGTAGACAGAAAGACAGACACACAGGTAGACAGAAAGATAGACACACAGGTAGACAGAAAGACAGACACAAAGGTAGACAGACACACACAGGTAGACAGAAAGACAGACACACAGGTAGACAAAGACACACACAGGTAGACAGAGAGAGACACACAGGTAGACATAAAGACAGACACACAAGTTGACAGAAAGACAGACACACAGGTAGACAAGACACACACATAGACAGACACAGGTAGACATAAAGACAGACAGACAAGCAGACAGAAAGACAGACATACAGGTAGACATAAAGACAGGCACACAAGTAGACAGAAAGACAGACACACAAGTAGAGAGAAAAACACACAGTAGACAGAAAGACAGACACACAGGTAGACATAAAGACAGACACACAGGTAGAGAGAAAGACACACAGGTAGACTGAAAGACAGACACACAAGTAGACATAAAGACATACACACAGGTAGACAGAAAGACACACAGGTAGACAGACAGATAAACAGACACACAGAGATACAGACAGACACAGATATACAGGCAGACAGATACAGACAGGTTTATGTGCAACAGTGAAAACAAATAGAGAGTTCGAGAGTAAGAGCCTTTTTTGCCACAATCTCCAATGCAAGATTCAGACTCCATCTTAGGGGCCATGGTGAAATTTACTGTTCAATTAGTACAGTTCATACAGTATGATGCTGCTGATAGGGCAGGGTTACTCAAACTGATGCTGCCTGCATGACGCATTGCCACTGTGAGTACAGTGGACCCCCGGTTTGCGATATTATTTCATTCCAAAAGTATGCTCAGGTGCCAGTACTGACCGAATTTGTTCCTATAAGGAATATTGTGAATTAGATTAGTCCATTTCAGACCCCCAAACATACACATACAAACGCACTTACGTAAATACACTTACATAATTGGTCGCATTGGGAGCTGATCGTAAACTGGGGGTCCACTGTATTGTCAAATACAGTGTATTGTACAGCGGTGTGCATCAGCCGGCCCAGCCCAGCTGCCAGATGCACGGTCGTAAGTCGAGTGGACGTATGTCGAGCAGGTCGTAAGTCGGATGGTAGGTGCATTGTTGTATTATTGTTTTCATGGTCTCACATGATAAAATGGAAAACATATTACAGAAATAGAGATGATTTTGATTAGTTTCATGATGAAAACGACCGTAAAATTGAGCTCAAATTAACGAAAATGTTCGATTTTTACAAATGTTCAGGAGTAAGCAAATCACACCACATGTCAACTGGGGAGTCTAATATTCTTTCACTAGTGCACTGATATTATTATACCATTTTTACAATAATGCAGTAGTCTGCATAACAATAAATTTTGTATTTTTTGTATGAATAAAAAATCAAAATAGAAAGCAATAGTAACATAAGAGGGGCCTAAAGACGTGACTAATGAACAGAGGATATGTTATTTTAGTGCCAAAAATGTCGACATTGTTTATTCTGGACGCTGTTTTGGAATTGGGATCTTTTTTAATTTGCATGAAATTGGTTAAATTGCCAATTTCTGACCACTTTATTGGGTAGTTCAAATCGGTAAATGGGCAGTTTCTTGTAATCAACTGATAGAAACAATGGAGTTCTAAAGAAATAGCTATGAGTTTGGTCAACTGGAACAACAGAATTGGTCAAAAACAGGGCTCAAAGTCGGTGAAATCACCGATGCGTATATGTCGCCGAGACCGCTAACTTCGTGGGAGTATACAATTCCGTGAGTTTTTGACCAAATTTCGTACTTTTGGTGTCATTACCATCAGGAAAAGATTCTCTATCATTTCATAATTCATAAGAATTTTTTTTTTTTTCCAAAATTTTGCGACATAGAATGATAGTTTCAGAAAGGGGCTTGCAACAGTCAAATGATTAACAATAGCCCTGAATTAATTGGCAGGCAGGGAGCCTTTCAATGATTCAGGCAATAAATGACATATCTTAGGGCCTTTTATGAGCACTGAGTTTTTTCATAGACTGAGTTGGACATGGGGGTGTCAAAGAGGGTTTTCTGTCTTGTGGTATGTTGCAGCTATCAAGCAAAAGTTTTAGAGGAGGGTTTATGGTGGAATTTAATGCTCCATATATAGTGGTACCTTGAGTAATGAGTAGCTCCCAGCTCGAACAATTACCTAAGTGTATTTTTGGGAGTCTGAAACGGATTAATCTATTTTTCGTTATTCCTTATGGGAACAAATTTGTTTGGTATCGGCACTCGAACAGCCTTCTGGAAAGAAGTAAGCTCGTAACTCAAGGTACCACTGTATATAGTAGGGAGAGCAGTATGAATGCATATTTTGTATATTAAGTAAGTTCAAGCTTTTGAAGACTGGGGGAGTGTGTTGTACAGCACTGGAATGGGTGATAGTCTGCACAGTAGGTTTTTCTTGGGTTACTATTGGTTTTAGATGATTTGGTGTAAGAGATCCCCAGGCACAAATACCATAGGTGAGGTAAGTGTATATTAAGTAGTGCTGTTTGAGGTACATAGTAATGTATCTTGGAAAGGATGCCTACTGTTTTGGAGACCTTCTAAGCCATGTGTTCCAAATGGGTATTAAACTTCAATTGCAGAAAAGATGCAGACCTAAGAATTTACCCTCAGTGTCTTGCAGTGGGAGACCCAATGATCATTATGTTTAGATGGATATTTGAAGTTCTGTTTCCAAACATTGTCAATGTTGTCTTTCACAGTTCAGCACTGCTGTAGGAAGCCAATATTTTGTCAAACACTGGGGTGGGAGGCATGAGAGATTGCAACAAGGCTGCCCTGTGATAACACTTTTTAGGCCCAGAAAAAATTTTTTTGTAAAACTAAAATTTCACAAGTATGAGAAGAGTAC